TTTATGGGCGACGGCGCGCTTTTTGCCCACACTCCCATCGCGCATGCGCCGCGCCGGTGGCGTCCGCTAGGGGCGCTCCGGTTTGTTTGTAAACATGAGTTGGCTCCTGTCGTCTGCTAGCGCGCGGTCTGCCGTGTTCTTCCTAACTCGTCCACCGCGGCAGTGTTCGAAATCTTCATTGTTACTCTGCCGAATCATGTCACGTGAAAACTCAGAACAAGGCTGGACGCGGATATTTCCAACGCCAAGGTACCAAACCGTCACTCGAGTGAGGTTGTGAGGCCGAGTCGTTCTTCCTAGCCGGAAACGGAACGCGGGCGCGGGCCAATATAGGAGAGCGCGTCGGCAGATCAATCGGTTTCGCTACTTAGCAAAGCGTTAATCCAGCCAGGGACCGTAGTTCACACATGTCGGTTGCCTTTGGAGCAACCGAAATGACAGTAACGACCATGTGGTCTAGAGATGTCCCTGTGACTTGAGGAAGTATACCTTCGCGAAGCAATCACGAGTCAAGGTTTCTCCGGCCTTCGGGTCGTTTTGTTTGGGTTGCTGTGAACGCAACCGTCGCAAATGTGGGAACCAGCATTTATATTGTCGTGCACGCAAGCGCGAACTTACGGTCGATGTCTGATAATAGGGAGTTTTAGCAGGTCGTTTCCACACGAACGGTTCGCCCTCGAACGCATCTGCGACGCCACTGCGCATGCGCGCGCGAGTCGTTCGGGGAGTCGGGAGGCTCTTCTCGTTCGTTTCTCCCATTCCGGCCGCTGGAGTCGTCACCGCAACGCAGCCAGCACCGTTCACGACTCGGGTAAAAAAAAGATGGCGGTCGGTTCGGCGACCGCCTTCGCCGACCCAGCCGAGCGTTAGGCTTAGGACAGCGGGAGGCAATTTGTCGTCCTGCTAGTCTGCTTCATCTGAGAGGTTGAACCAAATCATTTCGAGGACAGCTCACAATGGTAAGCGATCGTGAATGCTGTAAACGGCGCATGCTAGTAAATTTGTGTGATCTGCGGGCAGACTAGCTGCCGTGGCGTCCGCGAGCAGACGAAATGATTTGGTTCGACGGCACACAACGTGAACGATCGTTCAAGTTCAAGATGACGGAGACACACCACAAACCTTTACGGTCGTTCAGATACTTTTTACTCTATCTAGCATCGCAGTTCTTGAAATTCCGACCGGCAAATGTTACGCCGGCCGTCTTGTTTACATCAGTCGTACGCCGGAAACACGAGCCGCCACGGATTTACACGCTGCAGAATGTTTCACATGTTTGCTAGAAGATGGCGCCACCGTTAAGCATGATCATCATCATCGTTTACACGGTCGCGCCACTTTCACGATTCGCTAAAGTATGTTGAATTTGACGTACGGTTTCACGGAACGGACCAGCTGTACCTTTCGTGATTTCGGAACCGTGCGCTGGAAAAACGACTCGCTAAAAACTCCCTAATAGGGAGTTTTGGGGAACCGTTTTCGCGCTTCCGATACGGTACGATGGGCTCTCCGGTACGAACTGCGCATGCGCAACCATAGAATACTCGCATATGCGCAGGTCGTACCGGAGGGCTTATACCGTACCGGATGCGCAAGCACTGTTTTCTAAAACTCTCTAATAGCGAGTTTTAGTATTGCATATACGAGCGAACGCAATCACTCTTTGTGTTCGCGGCGCGTGTTCCGCTCTTAGCGGAGCCTAAACTGACACCGCTGACTCAGCCAAAACCAACACCCCCACTCGGTTCCCCAAGTATTGATCTCCTGCAGGCTACTCAAAGCTAAATGGGTCACTGCAGCAGGTTGAATGTCTTTCTCAGGCTGGGTTGTGATAGGGGAGTCAAAACTTTACCACATAGTTCCAACTATATATAGGCCCAGGAATAGCAACAAAACCTGCAAAAACTCTTCGAGCTGTAAAGGAACCAAATAAAACTACTTGAGTTGATATACTTCGGCACTATTTTCGTTATAAATACTTGTCATGTCATAACGAAACTGCGGTGGCTGTATACATGCCTTGCATGTGAAGTCATATGGCACCGTAGCAGCCGCCGTTGCTCCGTACCATGCTCCTGAGCTCCTATCTTCTGCAGCATACATCTCGCAGAAACGAATTTGTTCTTCTTGGCAAGTCTTCTGAAGAACAGGTTCAATGATGCCAAAATGTATGCCGCAAACAGTGCGCACACAGGAACATGGTGCGGAGCAATGGCGGCTGACATGACGTCGATACAAGCCATATATTGAAACTAGGTAATAATTTAATCTGTTTACCCGTTAAAGTTCCGATAGAACGCCCACCCAAAATGAAGGGATAAATGGTGAAAAAAAAAGTGAAAGCCGTTTACAAATCCCTGTAACGCCGAATTGGAGCGCAGCTCTTGAGGAGGAGGAGTGAAGGGTACTAAGGGTAGACCCCTCCCCCTTCTCCTCCTCCTCCCCTCATTCTTTAGTATGCTCCGGGGGGGGGGTCACGTGACCTCGGGGGGGGGGGGTGTCACGTGACTTCGGGGAGGGGGTCACGTGACCTCGGGGAGGCGTGAATTGGGGGTCACCTCAAGGTCACGTGACCCCCCAGGTGACCCCCCACGTGACCTTGGGGGTCACGTGACCTGGAGGGGTCACGTGACCTCGGGGGGTCACGTGACCTGGGGGTCACGTGACCTCAGAGGGGTCACGTGACCTGGGGGGTCACGTGGGGGTCACCTTGGGGTCACGTGACCTTGAGATGACCTTGGAAGGGGTCACGTGACCTTGGGGAGGAGACCACGTGACCTCGGGGGTCACGTGGGGTCATCTTGGGGTCACGTGACCTTGAGATGACCTTGGAAGGGGTCACGTGACCTCGAGGGGTCACGTGACCTTGGGGGTCACGTGATCCCAAGATGACCCCACGTGACCCCCAAGGTCACGTGACCTTAGGGGTCACGTGACCTTCAGGGGGTCACGCGGGGTCACGTGACCTTGAGATGACCTTGGGAGGGGTCACGTGACCTTGGGGGTCACGTGACCTTGGGTTGACCTTGGTTACGCCGACGCCGACGGCGACGCCGCTCAAGCCGGGAACGGGCCCCTAAGAGCTGCGCTCTAAAATGAAAGCCGTTTACAACTCCCTGTAACGCCAAATTAGAGCGCAGCTCTTGAGGAGGAGGAGGGAAGGGAACTGGGGGGGGGGGTCAAGTGACCTTGGGGGTCACGTGACCTTGGGGCGTCACGTGACGTCGGGGGGTCACGTGACCTGGGGCCACGTAACGATGCCGATGATGTCATCAGTGACGTCACTGATGACGCCATCAGTGACGATGACGATGCGGATGCCGGTGACGTCATCAGTGACGATGACGATGCGGATGCCGGTGACGTCATCAGTGACGTCACTGATGACGTCATCAGTGGCTATGACGTCAACGGGGGGTCACGTGACCTCGGGGGGTATCCCCAGGTCACGTGACCCCCCCCCCGGGGTCACGTGACCTGGGTAACCATCGTGACCCTCGTGAGGGTAACCCTAGTAACCCTTGTGAGGGCAACTCTCGTGACCCTCGTGAGGGTAGCTCTCGTGACCCTCGTGAGGGTAACTCTCGTGACCCTCGTGAAGGTAACCCTTTTGAGGGTAACTAACCCTCGTGAGGGTTACGAGGGTAAGTAACCCTCGTGGAGGGTAACCCTCGTGAAGGTAACCCTTTTGAGGGTAACTAACCCTCGTAACCCTCGTGAGGGTTACGAGGGTAAGTAACCCTCGTGAGGGTAACCCTCGTGAAGGTAACCCTTTTGAGGGTAAATAACCCTCGTAACCCTCGTGAGGGCCACGAGGGTTACTTACCCTCGTAACCCTCGTGAGGGGTACGAGGGTAAGTAACCCTCGTGGCCCTCGTGAGGGTAACCCTCATGAGATTAACCCTCGTAACCCTCACGAAGGTTACGAGAGTTGTGGTTACGCCGACGCCGACGGCGACGCCGACGCCGCTCAAGCCGGGAACGGGCCCCTAAGAGCTGCGCTCTAAAACATGGGGTGGGCTATCTTTGGGGATGCCACAGCAAAACTTTATCAAAAATTAATGATAAACACCTTGGCACCGGCTACAAACCACGTGACACGGGAACTAATACCGCAGATCGCGGAGATCGCAAATTCGCGTTTCACGATGCGATAAACACGCGGGAATTCGCTACGAACTCCTGCGTCACGGGAAAGAATACCGTAGGTTGCGGACGCAGCAAATTCGCGTTTCACGGTGCGAAGGACCTGCGGAAACCCGTCGAGAACTCCGATTACCGCAAATCGCGGACCCAGCAGGTTGAAGTTTTATGGTGCAATAAACACGCGAGAGCCCGTTACAAACTTGCCTTTCACGGGAACCGATATCGCACGGGCAGATCGCGGACAAAAACGCGGGAATCCGCTGCATACTGGTCTGTTACGGGAACAAATACCGCAGATCACGAACGCAGCAGGATCGTATTTTACGATGGAATATACACGCGCGGGACCAACTCGCGTGGAATCGAGATAGCGCGCGCAGATCGAGGACAAAAACGCGGGAATCCGCTATGAACTTGCTTGTAAGACAGCAAATTGCGCGATTGATGCGATTCCCGTTGAACATCGAATGAAGTCCGACGGGAATCGGGGTGGGGGGGGGGGGAGGGCGGAGGGGGGGGGGGGAGGGAGGGAGGGAGGGAGGGAGGGAAGGAAGGGGTAGGGGAGGGAGGGGAGGGAGGGAGGGAAGGGGTAGGGGAGGGAGGGGGGGGGGGGCGGGGGTTTCGGAATTTTTATGGTACAGATATTTGTCCAGAAAAACGGGGCGGGCGATCTCTCGGGGGCGGGCGTTCTCTCGGAACTCTACGGGTAGCAATTTTTTGCGAAAAACACTAGACAACGACCTTTAAAGCTCTGGTTTTCTACGCCTTTGAATATGGTTATGGGAAAATCAATTACACTTTTTTTTTTTCGAAGTTTTTGCTGCCAATGTTTATTTTTGGCACTGTCTTTCCAGATGTATGGAGAGTCTGGAGCCTAAGGCTCCCACCTGGACGGAGAATGACCTGCTGGTGCTGATCACGGAATACTGGAAGCGGAAGGTATGTGTTATGCATATGGTAAAGATTTGGTATACATTGTGGTAGTTGGCGCTGTTTTCTGCATGCTCTACTTATGAAGCAATACTGATCTTGAAACGTTTGGAAATTATGTATTGAAAGTGGAACAATAACAACCAATAATCTTGCTTTTTTTATGGGGGGGGGGGGGCTATTGAAAAGAAAAGCAGCAGCTCTGACACAGCAGTTGGTTTTATGTTAACTTTCACGACCGTGGGAAACTCCCTTTCTTATTTATATATAATTTGGCTTTTTTTAGTAAGGGTATCTATACCCGTGACAAAGAATCTATGTATAATTGTGACCATGGAGCCAACGCGGAAGATTCCCCCGCATCAGCCGCTGCTCCTAGCACGCCGGTGCAAAGCGGTGAAGCTCGACGCGTGCAGTGGTGCGATGCAGTGAAACTTGACGCGCGGTCTGTGATGGTAAATTTAACTCCACGTGAAATGAAACTTACGGAGCCAGAGAAACTTACAATGCACATGCATACATCTGGCTTTTGAAGTGTATGTTTCTAAGCGGATTAACAGCGGCTCGATGCTTCGCGTCGGATGAAAGTTTTTGGACGTAAGAACCGGGAAGGCAAACCCAACTAAGGGAACATTGATACGCATAACTCGGTGGAAGCTCAACGGAACCGGCGCTTGTGAATGCAACGGCCGGGAAAGCGTAGAAACCAAGAACACATCAATGGGTTCTGTAATGTGTTTAAGTCCCCACCTCCCCCTGCTAAACTAAAAATACCCTAAAAAATGAAAAAAAAAAAAACAAAAAAAAACAATGTTTACAATCCTCTGTAACGGCGAATTAGACTGCAGCTCTTGAGGAGGAGGGGAAAATACAAAGAGGAGGTTATGTTCCTCATCCGTACCCTCCCCTCCTCCTCTCCTGTTTGCCTCCAATTTAGCGGGAAATATTCCGCTAAATTTAGCGGGGAAATTTTTCCGCTAAATTTAGCGGGAAAATTTTTCTGCTAAATTTAGCGGGGAATTTTTTCCGCTCAATTTAGCGGGGAATTTTTCTCTAAATTTAGCAGGGAATTTTTTCGCTGAATTTAGTGGGGAAATTTACCCATAATGCAACGTGCGGTGACGTCACGTGTGACGTCATCATGGGAAACGTTCCATAATGCACCGTGCGGTTACGCCGACGGCGACGCTGCTCAGGCCAAAAACGGGTGCCTAAGAGCTGCGCTCTAAAACATCTTAGCAGTTGTCTTCAGCGATATCTTTAATCGTGTTTAGCGGATGCCACCAAAAGCGAATCACGTCGTGTTCACGGTAGCGGCAATCGATGTTCATAACAAAGCATGCTTTGTTGGAAAAAACGGCACCCTCAATTTCATTTTGCTGCTATACACCGCAATATTAATTCCAAAAAACATGCACTGGCAAGCCAGTCGGAGCCACAAATAATGCCACCACTTGTAAGTTGCAGCGAGTGCACCTTTTCTTTTCTACATTGATCGGGTCCACCTTGCCGACTGGTCATTTGTTCACGACCCGGTGTTGCCTGCTCTGCCCGGTTATGTGGATGGTGACGTGACACTCTTCCCCAGGAGATACTGCGTGCCAAGGCCTCTGAGAGCGTGACAAACCTGCAGAAGCGGGAATGCTGGATCGAGATCACGGAGGTGGTGAATGCACGCTGCTTCAGTCCGCACTCCAAGAAAACCATGGACCAGCTCAAGCGCAAGTGGGAGAAGACCATCATGCTCGCCAAGAAGGCTGCGCTCAGCATACAGAAGCGGTCGGGTGAGTAGGGCCCCTAGCTGCTCGCTGGAGCTCCGCGGACATCCATTCCTGTATTAAGTGATTCAGGGATATCCTTTCTAGAAGCATCCGTTTTTGGCGGTATCCGCGAGTTATTGGGGATATTGGCGAGTATATCGGGGATATTGGCGAGTATATCGGGGATATCGGCGAGTGTATCGGGGATATTCGCGAGTATATCGGAGATATTCGCGAGTATATCGGGGATATTCGCGAGTATATCTGGGACATTCGCGAGTATATCGGGGACACCCATGAACTTTCTGGAGGCATCCATATTCAAGTGTTATCAGGGGACATACATGAGTTATCAGTAGGGCTCCGTGTTTTCGGATAAATCCGAAAAACTCCGAAAAACACCCGCCGGTAAAATTTTGGTCAATTCGGATTTATCCGATAAACTCCAAATATTTATGTGTCAGTGTTCATTTTTTTTTTTTTTTTTAAAGTTTGATTAGCACAGAGTTAATGGTCCTGGGAAAATTCCACAATAATTATCTTTCAAATCTCGGACCGTTGTCAACAGGGGTCTTGCCACTTGTCTCTTCAAGGTTGATTCAGGGCAACAGGTCGTTCGTTGTACATTCGGGTCACAACAAAAGCCACTCTTTTGGTTTCCAGTTTGTGATTTAGAGAAAGGAAAGGGTATGTATTAGTAACAGTGAAAGCTATGGACCATGTAGATTGTATAAAATTGGGAAGAGGGGCAGTTCAAACTCTCTATTACCTCCTTAACCGCTCCACCTCATGCGGCCGCGGGCTAGATTGATGGAATAGGATGGGATGACTACGAGCTTCCTAGCGACTACCTCCGGGAGTTTAGTGATTTTAAGGTATCGGCGTTTATCGAAGTGGCACTTGTGTGTGACTTTTGTCGTGGATAAACAGCACTACGTCCGTGTCACTTCTCTGTCTGGTCCTCGTCTTTTCGCGCTGTTTTTAAATCTGATGGATAAATTAGTATTGCCAATAGCAATGGCACCAGTGCCAAATTCAACAAAAATATTTCAATTGATACAAGCGCGTCTTCTTTTTTTATCTGGCATACGTTTACATTCGGTTATTATTTATTTATTTATTTTTAATAGGAAACACAACGAAATTAAACTCCGAATTTCGGAGAATTGGGAATAAAAAAATATAAACTCCGATAAACTCCGAATCTTCGGCAAAAAATAAACTCCGAAAAACACCCTCCGAATTTGACGAAAAATAAACTCCGAAAACACGGAGCCCTAGTTATCAGGGACATCTATGAGCTTTCCTGAGACATTTGTTATTGATATCTGCAAGTTTCTAGAGATACCTGGAAGGGTTCTGGGAGTATCTGTGAGTCCTATGGAGATATTCTGTAGTTGTGTGAAAATATTTAAAAGTTATTTGGACATTTTAGGAAGTTGTTTAGAGATATCCGGAAGTTATCCACATATATCTGCAGGATATCTGAGGGCACAAACTTTCGGCAGGTATTTGGAAGTTATTAGGAGATATCCGCAAGTTCTCTCGTAACATCTGGAATTTATCTAGAGATATTCGGGAGTTGTCTGAGGATATCTGAAAGTTATCTGGGAAGTGCTACAAGCTTTTCTGGGATCCGGGAATAACTGCAAACTTGTGGAATTGAATCTATAAAATTTCAGATGTGTTTCTAACTCAAAGTTTATAATTGATTTAATGCATGCTTTTAATTGCTTATAATGATTCAACAGATGAATAAACAAGAATATACATTACACTCAAAAGCAATTATGGTCAGAATAGTCTGCAAAGGCAACTTTAGGTGTTTCTTAGGAACATTTTCAGATTCTAATAAAATAAACTCATTTAAAAATTTTATCTTATTGAATTTTCTTGATGCTATCAACAATATCCTGACTAGCATAACCTGAACGTGGATCTTTTGCATGCTTAGTTTTGAAATGACAGTGCCTTTTGATAACAAACTTTGTTTAGAAACGCGAAAGTGCTTGCATTGACGAAAATACAGACAGTGCACTGACGAGCTGGTAGAAATTTATCATGATGACTTTAACCCAAGACTCTGGCAGAAAAAGGAAATTTGTTTTACAATATATTTTTTTCTATTTTTGTGAAATTGTTTTGTTCTTCTGGCCCAGCCTCAGGTTAAAGTCATTATGATATGAGCATTGCTTTCTCTCAAACAGCACCATTTTGAGCCAATAGGTATTTTCTCCCAGGCATGAATATGGCAAGTTCATGAGTGCCAAATAAAACCTTTGAGTTACATCTTCATACTTTTTTGGCCAGATAACCCCTACATAGGCAGTTTTAGAATAGCACACGCTAAAGCTTTGCGTACGCAAAGAATAGCTTTCTCGCCACTGCACATGCGTTAAACACCAACTGCATTGCACTTTGCGCGCGCTATTTTAGCATATGCTATTTTTCAGAAATTGCGTGCGTGCGCAAAGAGTCTTCGTGCCCCTCCAAGAAGGATTCGTGATGAGAAGTTGGCTAAAGCCAAGATGAGCACAGCTAAAAAATGGCGGCTCCCAGGAATGCAACTGCGGCCGCTTTGGCGGCGTTGTGAGCGCGACTTGAGCAGCACCTTCGCAACTGCGATTTTAACAGAGGACGACATTGCACTCGTACGGGAGGTGCACGTCATAAACGTTTTGGAAGGCCCAGCATGGCAATGGTAAGACCTCTCTTGCCGAGGCGACGCAAGCGGACACTACCGGTCAACCGCTCGCGTCGCATTCTCATATTTAAACAAATCTGAAATGTCACTTTGAACCAAAAATTTTGGTTTTTCTCAAGTTACTGCATTTCGTGTGTGAAATAAAAATTGTTACTGCATCTGGGTGGCGTTGCAAGCACGAGATGCTTGGGCTTTTTCGTCGCGGCAGAGAAACGCTATTCTAATAATACACTCATATGCTTAGCGTGCACTAACACAAGTGCTAAATTTGGCACTAATGTGTGCTAAAATTGCCTGCGTTATTCTAAAACTCCCTTATAACTGGGAATCTGCCTGTGTACGCTATTAACGATTGATATAAAAGGCATTCACTAGGTGGCGCAAGACGCCACCAGTTTCAAAGAGTGTGGCCACACTCGCCCGTCCATCCAGTGTAAATCCAGAGTCAAATGTGGCTTTTCGTGCAGGCAACCTGTCGGACCTGGCCCCGGCCTACCAACTGGCTCTGTCCATCGTCTGCGAGGACTTCCCGGCATCCCTGGAGTGCCAGAACGGCCTCGCGGCAGCAGACGCGTCCTCTCTCACTGATCACCAGCATGCCACCTACATTGACGAGGTGTCCAGGTAGTGACTCTCCTGCTCACTAAAGACCTCTTCACACTTACATTTGAGCACTCTTCCTATGTCAGTGCTCGAAATTGTGCTGTTCTAGAGATGAAGCAGCACTTGCTAAGGTCTGTTACAGATTAAGAAAGGCAGGACAATTCCTTCACACAAAGCTCTCTGCTCATTCGATTGGTGGTCTCCTTCTCGTCACTAGGCTCTACTCCAGCGTTTGCTAAAGTGGAATGAGTGGAAGGTTTTGTGGGAGGAGATTCTTCTGCGCAGAGTATACGCAGCGCTGATATAGCGGCAGTGACTGACTTCAGTGGCGCCATCTGATGTTTCATAGTTGAAACATTGCAAGCATGTGTCACAGTCCCTATGGTTTCAGTGACTTATTCCTGTTCGAGATCAACTTGTTCGATGATGTGCGCAAAGAACATCGTCGAAGTCCAGAGCTTGAACCAGTATTGTATATCCTGCTTTTCTGAGTACGAAGTTATCTCACTGAGACAGCAGACGGAATCAGACGTGCTACAGCAAACAAAGAGCTTGCATCCGATGTATCGTTTGCCACCGATCGAGGAGAGCCGTCTGCGAGGTCGTAGCTTCATTGCACGCATGATTACTCCTTTCCCCCTTTTTGTGCCTCCTTTCTCGCTCAAGGAGAGAAATGCAGTTTGATTATTGTGCCTAAAACGTGCCTCTGGCTGGTCTGTTTAATGTCCCATTCTGCCTACCCAGGCGAAAATTTTCAACTGGGACCAGTTGGTCCCAGTTGCAACTGGTTTATGGAACAATTCCCAGTTGCAACTGGTTTATGGAACAATTCCCAGTTGGAGTTGATCCCAGCTGGAATTGGTCCCAGTTACAACTGGTCCCAGTTGGAGTTGGTACCAACTCCAGCAACAATGAAACACGGCACAAAATGGAAGGGTGACAAGACTTTATTGTCAAAAACTTGGAGAATGAAACTAAATAGGTTCGGTGACGTACACGCTCCGGGTTTAGCCACTTGCTTGCGACGGTTGAATCGCTTTTTCAGAGGTGGTATTGATGAGATGAAGGAAGATTGGCCGCTGGCGTCCGTTAGTGAAGACGTCCTCAGCTTCTCTTCCCATCGCGTGAAAAAAGGTGCTCACCCGTTATCCTGCGTTGCGCAGGAGAAGTACCAGTAAGATGCGGTAGCGCTCCCACCTTGCAATCTCTGTCACAACAGTCGAACATTTTCGAGGTAGACCTCCCGCCATTTTCGCCATTGTGCTCTCCGCGGCGTGTTCTCTTCCGTCCGGTCTTTCCTGGGTGCCCTCCGATCGCTGAACTGCATCTTTCCATCCTCGAAGTTCTTCGCCGCCACCGTGGTGTGTGTACAGTTAGGTCTGTAGTTTTGACATTTTCATAACGACGCCAACTTGGGCGATGGCCTGGCGATGGCGACCCTTCTCTACCGCGTCCGCAGCGACCGTCCGACTCCGCCGTCAGCATAGGCAGCGCCATCTGTCGACAGCGCGTACCACTAATCCGCACCCGCGTGCCACGGCTAGCTCTGATTAGTCAAAAGATGAATTTATTTATTAAAAGAAAAAAAAATACTGTAGGTATTTAAATAAATGTTTTAATATATTTTAATAATGCACTAAAAGTGTAAATGTAGGTGAACACATTTTGTCACTAATTATATTTCCAATTAAAAATTATTTAGTTAATTAAAATTTTTATATTTTTATAAATATATAAATGTACCCCAGTAATTAAAATTCCCTATTTGTATAAATCTAAAAATGTTAGTGTTTTGAGTTTTCTTCATTAGCAAAGGTCAATACACCCAACTTGTCAAAATTGTTGCCCCGTGTGAACTGGGAACGGGAAAGGCATTTGGAGTTCGACTGGGAATCGCTCCAACCAGTTACTTTCCTAACCGGTCCCAGTTCACTCCATTCCCAACTGGGAGTCAAACCAGTTGAATCCCAACTGGGAATGGTTCAAACCAGTTGACTCCCAACTGGGAATGGTTAAAACCAGTTGACCCCTTAGCTGGTCCCAGTTGGACTCCTATTGGTCCCAGTTGATTCCCAGTTGGGACCAGTTAGTCCCAGTTGATTCCCAGTTAGTCCCAGTTGAAACCAGTTGAGGTGCCAACTGGTCCCAGTTAGAAATTTTCGCCTGGGTATGCATCAAAAGTGGTCCCGGAGCGGCAACAAATGACGTCACAAAAGCCTGCCGGTTTTTGTGACGTCGGTTAATGATGGACGTCTGCAGCGGTGGTGGACGTCTGCCACATCTGCTGCCGCGACACCAACAGGGTCAGAGACGGCGACATCACAACACTGTCGTCATCAGGTAGAAACGGAGGGACCATTTTTTTGGGCGTGGTAAATGCACGAGTTGGAGACGCACTGCAGGCAGCGTAGTTAGGTCGACTTGCTTGCCGTATTCCAACGACTTTTTGTAGCCAAAGCAAAGAACTTAATTGCACGGTCTCGCTTTCCGCCCCGTCGTTCGCAGCATGGTCATCACGGAGCTGGAAGAAGAGTCGTCGACGGACGCTCCTCCACCGGCCTCGGAGCACAAGACTCGGCAGCCAATCAGGACGGAGATGCTGAGCGAGGGTGCTGAGTGTCCGCATCCGCTGGGCAGCCGTCCCTTCCAGCCAGTCTTGGCCGTGGGGCCCGAAGACGGCGCGGCCTCAGCGGCAACGCTGGACGCCCACTCCAACCATGGGGTGAGAGAAACGATATCCGTGGCACATTGCTCTGTCCTTCGGTCTTCATCTGCAGGGAAATGTACAGTGTCATATTTTCTAAAGGGGTCATTTTAACAATCTTAACATTGCAAAAATCTGCGGTGTATTGCTTTTATTTCCTTTACGCTACTTCAAGTGGAAGGAAGCATGTCGCTTCTCCCCAGATTTCCGCGGCTCCACCGTGCAGTTGCCGAGCGAAAAATCAACTGGCTTAAACTTTCCATCAAATTCAATGAGGGAGCGATAGCACTAATGCGCAGTTTCTACACCACCATCGTGTGGAGTTGGGGAGTAATCGGTTTGCTGACCCTTCCCTCCCTCCCGCCACTCCGCACGGTGCAACACCGATGGTCGCAGACTGTTACGTCAGACCGACAACTGTACCTGCGCTTTGTAATGCAGTCAAACACACCCAAATGGAAATATGTGAACCAGCCTTTAAAGGAATTGTCCGGTCCAAACCGGAAGTACTTAAGTTTTTGTGCTCGTTACATCGAGGGTGCCTTCATATAGACAAACACCATTTTCATTTTGATATATGATCTCCCCCATTCATGAAACTTTTTGATGAGCGTATGTACGAAACTGCACCCCGAATTCGCCAGTGTCAATGGCTGACATCTGCAGCTACTACGGCGTCACAAAACCCAAAGGTTTGTTGGGTGATCGGGATAACAAGCGTTAGTCGATGGATGTCTTGTATTTTGTTTCGAATTTTATAATCTCCTGGGCCGTACTTTACTGAAATACGTTTCTTTTAATGCAGTTCCCAAGCGTGTGCAAAAAAAGTCACGCCTTTTAGCAGGATATTACTCGAAAACAGCCATAATCTTCGAGCAAACGTATGTCGTTTCGCGCAAACACAACTGCGACGGCCACCAGTCGAACTAGGAGCGCTTGCAAAACAAAGGATGCAGATTTTGTCTCTGAAGCGGCACCTAGGTACACGAAGCGGCATCTGGGTACATATATCGAATTGGCGGATCCCCTGGATCGGTGATGAGGCTGGGAGTTGATCCCTCGGAGGCAATGTCCGCGGGTCAAAGGGAAACGGCGGATCTTTCAAATGCATGTCATCACTTGACTTGGATGAGCTTGGTGAATCGTAGCCACGCTCCATTTTCACACGCGGGTCAAACAGAATCTGCTGCACGCGTGCCAGATACAACTTTTGGCATAGTTTCCAGATGGCTTAGCTGTTGGTTTTGGTTTCGCTGCATAATGAAACCGATTGATCTGATTTGGGTGAGGAGTGGGTGTAGTTGAATATCGTTGGAACGGCATCACACCTCAGCTTACGAGCCTTCTGTCTGCTTGGAGCTCAGCTCTTAGCACTCTTCTGCGAGATGACTGCTGCAAAAGTGGGATTTCAATCTTGACGGGAACCCAGTCCCTACGTACGGCGACAATCTATTTTGCTCGTCACTCCACGCTTCACGGAAAAGTGTGGAATGTTACGTTTTGGCTCGCACGTGATGCCTGGCGGTTGTGGCGCACACACTGCGCAACAAAAATCTCGCCCATCCACGAAACAAGTTGAGCGCAACAACAAAAACGAAGCACGATGCTGCGTTCACTTGCAGGAAAACGACGGGACGAAAATGATCGCTCTGTGTTGTGTCACGTCGTAGCTTCAATGTTGCCAACGAAAGCAGCGTTTACGCTAGGATGTGATTAGACCGGCATAAATTCGAATTACTCATGCAGAGGGGCATGTAAAATTCAGATATTGCACGTACGATGTGTCTTGAGGCAACAAGAATAATATCCAAGTGTTTTCCCGAATACAAAATTTGACCGGACAATCCGTTCTTTGTTCCTCAGGCAGAAGCAGACGAAGACGACAGGTTTGACTTCCCCTCCAAGTCGGGCCAGAAGCGCAAGTGGGACCCCGACCTGATTGAGCTGCAGCGGGAGAAAGTGCGCCGGCAGATCCAGTACCACAGGACGCAGCACGAGCTGCAAATGAGCGTGCTCCGGGCGCAGATGGACTTCTGGGACATGAAGAAGGCCAAGCTGGCTGCCGAGATTCGCCAGATGGCTCCCGCGCGGTCCCCCGCTCCCGCTGTCACGCCGGACGACCCGTCGTAGGGTCCAGCCTCGCTGCTCCGTCTGGACATTCCAGTCGTGCTCAAGGGTCAAAGTCGTCGTTCCAGACGGCTTAGGTTGTAAGCCGCAAATCTGCACATCTGTACCGTCGTTGGACCCACGGGCAACGTGATGAAATGCTCGGATAGATCGTCGTTCGAGCTTTTCGTCTGGTTTTGGCCGTGGAAAGACGTATTGTGTTTTGCCGAGAATCGATTCCAAGGAGCCGACACTCTGAGTCGTGAATTTACAGATGCAGAGGATGTGCTGAATGCAGATCTGCAGCAAGTGAGGTGTGCAGTGTTAACGTACAGGTTGTTCAATTTCAATTTGAACAGACTTTTTTAAAAATGGGAGGTTTGAGTGTCATACAAGTTCCGTCTTCATGTATTTATCAGGTTCGGCGGACGTAAGATGAGGGGATAATCGTCACGGTAAGTTGACTAATTAACGAAATTCTCTTAATTAGCTTGTTAATCATTGGTTTTAGGGTTCATGTTGGAATTGCAGTATTGACGACAATTAAAATGAGAAGCAAGACAGATTTAAATAGTTTTGCGAAAAGGTAATTGTTTTTCAGATATTAAACGACCAACTTTTGTTATTGCCCGATCAGAAAATTGTGCTAAAAGAGGGTGTTGCAAGCCCACAATGACGGTTTGAAGAGCGACATCGTCGTTTCTATCATGTCATCACTATCTCGGCAGCGTGACCTTAATGGGTGTGCTGAGGACCAGTGACAACGTGGCTATGTTGCTCGTCCAAGCGTCAATTTGGGCAGGGCTTGATGCGCTCTTTTTTCGCACAGTTTTTATATCGGTCAGAACAAATGCAAAAATTTATTAATTAATATCTCGATAACCACTATTTTTTTGCAAATTCTTTAAATTTGTCTTTCCTGTAATAGTATTTGCCATCAATACTTCAATTTGCAACATGGCCCCTAAAATGAATAAATAAAAAGTAAATTAACATATCTTAGTTAATTAGTCAACTTAGCATGCCGATTATTCCCTAATCGAGCATTATAAATACATAGTGAAGACAGCACTTGCCTAACTCTCACCCCTTCTTTCTATATCTGTTGGAATTAAAATTAAACACCTTGTATGAGCATCTGCAAGTTGCCAGGTGCAGGATGAACCTTATCCTTTTGTTGATCGACAACCTTCTCCACCTGGTCTTGCTACCATGTACAGAGAGGTGTTGCAAACATTGGTAGCATTGCAGCTCGCTCCTCACCTTTCCCTCGAGGATAACCAACGTCTTATCAACATTGGTGGGACGTTGCGGATGTTCATGGATGTCGGTGATGTCTCGCGGACATACGGGTATGGGATCAGATTACAGAATGCTTGCGGCAGGCTGTAATTTACGAAACGTATATGGGACGTCGCTCCAAGGGACTTTTTTTGGATGTTGTGGGCGTCGGGCAGATGCCTGATGGGCAGCGCTGATGAGTGTTGGTAGCTTCCGCACGGTCCCATTCAAATTCAATAACAGCCAATGGACGTTCATAGGACGTGGCTGATGTTTGAAACATGGTGTGTCGTATAGGTCCTTTTTCCATGCTTTCCGATATTTCCTTCATGCACTGCGTGTTCTCCGCTTTGCGGGTGATAACACAGCCATTCCATCAGTTGTGACTCTCGCCGTTCAGTCTCATGCTTCGTACAAATTTCCAGTGTTGCATAGGGTGCTCCGTGTAATTATTAAGAGAATGGGAGTTTTCCCCTTGTCTGTGCTTTGATAAATGTATATTTTTTGTATATGAAATAAATTATGTTTTTCCGAGTGGGCAGTTCGGTGGACGTGTTGCTCTTACTATTTTTCAATATGCTGAGAAAAATATTGGGACATGTCTAAGGAAGTGAGCGCTCTTGCATTCAGACACTTTGTTGTTGTTTCCTTTAGCATCTCTACGGGAGATAGTGCACATACAGAGACGTGTCTTCCTCGCACAGACAAGTCCCTCGTATCTCAGTGATGGAAGTGCTACGCCATCTACGCCATCTACGCCAAGTTGCGCCTTGAACGAAGGTGTGCTACATGTTACGCCAAAGTGCCATTTTTGCTCAAGATTGCGCCACACCCGCGCCAAAATAGACAAATCATAAAAACAATATATTGCTTTATTTTAATCTGTACAGCAGTAGGAGGAAAGAAAAATGGTAAAATATGCATTTCAGAAAGTCTCAGAAAGACGAAACTTGCGCTTCGCGTTGGCTCGTAGCAGCGGCTGCGCTTTAAGTTAAGGTAAAATGAAGAACTGAGATCGCTCGTCAACCGCGCTGGTTATTTGATGCGCTGGCGGATGGATCGCCGACTTCGTCTAAATTTCCAGAAGGTGTCGGCGATGTGATGAGCTGAAAGTTTCGAGAAACCTTTGCCAAATTGTAGGATGGCGGCTACTGTGATGAGACAGAACTGAACTCGTGTCCTCCTGGTGAGGTCACTCGATTATCATGTCTGCCGCATGCCTCCGTGTCGTCTCTCAACAGCGCGGGTGTCGAGCTTCACCGCTTTGCACCGGAGTGCTAGGTGCAGCGACTGAGACAAGTGAGCGCCTGGGTTAGCGCGATAGGCTCGCTAATTATGCTCAGTACAATTCCAGGTCTACTTTTTTATATGTTTTGTTTTGTCCTGGTTGTAGATTGTTCTTCACTTTTCAAAATATGCACCGAAAAAAGAATAATCGGGTCTATCTTTGAATAACTGGTAGTCAAGGCTCTTCCCGTGCAGCGGTCGATCGAAATAACAGCGAACTTCGACTTCATTTTTGGTTCCAACGCCGCTAGAGAACAGTGTCACTTGCACAAGTGTAGGTTTTCATAATATTTGGGGGTGGCTGTTTTGGCAGTGCATACTATTAAAGTCTGGAGTTTGGTAGGTTCATAAAACTTGGGGGACGTATAGACGAGCTGGTTTTTGCAGGCATTTTACGGGACTTATATATACAGGCTAAATAAACTACCGGCTGTAAAAGGGCGGGAAGAGGGAAGCTTTATCCAAACTGAAGTGTTGTTCTATGATTTATTTTTCATCGATTTTTAGCACCCATTGTAAATGGAACCTTCTCTGAGCCACCAAGAATGGTGTGAAGAAGGAGAATCATCCCGTCGTCTGCTTGAAATAGTTGCTTCCAAACATTCCTCGGCTTATGCTAAATTACATTGGGCAGTATACAGGTCATACGCGTTGTGTTATTTTTGTTGAAGAATAAATATACGAAGGAACTCATAGAGTGTGCGCCTTAGAAAACGAAACTGAAACTAGAGTCGCACATTATGTTGATTTTCTGCAACGCGTGCTGTCTGTTTATTCGACTTTGAACACCGAAGTTAAACAAACGACAGTCGGACTTCTCGTACAGAAAAATGCACGAGAGCAGGAAAAAACTAGATAAGGCAGACCCCACAGATACAAAGGCACCGAAAATGCGCCGACACGGCAGCTCCGCCGACCAATGTTGGCGCCGTCCCGTCTCACGCCCACCCGACCCCAACGAACCCGAGCTAACTCCGACCGACCCGACACAGCAACCAAACGGAGCAGACGAACGCATCGACGTCTACTCACATCCGGTTCCTGTTTGCTATCAGCGGCGCGCAAGAGCGCATGCGTGGCCACCGCACGCACGCACACCGCACGCCCGCACGCCGCGCGTCGAACCGCCGTCGCCGCCGTAGCCGCCGTCACCGCCGCGCCGCTCCTGTCGCCGCAGGCCTCTTCCTCAGACGCCCAACATCCCAGCACGTTGACAACGCCGATCGCGCCGACACCACCGACACTTCTAGCGTGCACCTCGCGGACGCCACGTTTTCCGCGCGTGTAAACCCGTGTTGGTATCCAGAGCTAACAGCGCGACCATGTCGGAGCACGACGAACCCGGCCAAGTGAAACTGAAGAAAGAAATCGGACTGTTCAGCGGCGTCATGATCGTCGTGGGTACGATCATCGGCTCGGGCATATTCGTATCGCCGAAGGGAGTCTTCGAGCACGCCGGCTCCGTCGGCGCTTCGCTTGTCATCTGGGTGCTGTGCGGACTCTTTTCGATGATCGGAGCCGTGTGCTACGCCGAACTCGGCACGTCCATCCCCAGGTCCGGCGGGGACTACGCGTACGTGCTCGAGGCGTTCGGACCGCTCACTGCTTTCCTGCGGCTATGGGTCACCGTACTCGTGGTACAGCCGGCCACGCTTGCCGTGCTGAGTCTCACTTTCGCCACGTACATGGTCAAGCCGCTCTATCCAGACTGCGAGCCGCCGGACTTGGCACTCAGACTCATGGCTATCGTCTGTCTCTGTGAGTACTTGGTTCAGTTTTTAATTCATTCGGGTTAAAGGGGGACGACACTTGTTCCATGGTCCTTGAATGCATCCTAGTCGCTCCGTGAGTGCTAATTCTTTTTCGAAGGAAGCGCGCGTCGATGATGGTTGGTGGCGATTGGTCGTGATGGGTCACTGAAAAAATGTGATTCGCCGTGATTGGTCACGGAATCACTAAAAAGGTGGTTCTTCGTGATTGGTCGTGGTTGATCATTGAAAAGGCGTCTATCCTCGCCGAAGTTCGAACTGCCCCCGAAAATATCTGCAGCTCAAATTCTATTTTCTATATATATTTTTTTTTAATGTGTGGAAACTGCCGGTCGAAAATTGGGTGTTCAGACGACACACTCTTTTTCTGTTGGTCACGTGCGGCGACAACAAAGAACCCAAAACATTTTTTTGCTGCCATTTTTGGGTGTTCTTAGGCCAGCTGAGGCACATAATGATAATTGAAAATGGGGAAATGCATGAAACATTTTTTTTATGACAACTAAAACACACAAAAAACGCGTGCATTGAGAGAAATTCAACACTTAGTCGCTTGGAGTTACTCCCCGCGACTCCCATTCACTCTAGCGTCGCAATCCCCCACGATGGTTGTCTGGTTTCGGTTCGTCTAAATAACGTAAACAAAAAACAAAAACAAAAAAAAAACCGAGGAGGTTTTGGGGAGGGATTTATAAGGGACGCATCTCGCATCCGGGAATTTTTCTGAGTCATTATATCACTGCTACGAGAAACCGCGAAAATCAATTAGGAACCGCGAAACTGGGTCAAAATCGATTGGGTTTATTCCTTTGTGTTTATTTCACGTACTATTGGCCCATATCTGTTTGGTGTCGTTATCTATGCTTCTCCAAACACGGGGTTAAGTTTAATAAACAATAATCCTATGTTTCTGCCAGCATTGGACGAGAATAATGATAATGTGTTTGAATAGGCGTATAGCCGTATGTGTTCAGGGTAAGTTGGTACTTGGACTGGTAACTGGTTATCTTATTGTTACGTCACGGGGCCTAAACTAATATTAGGACACACATTTAGAAAATGTAATCCTCGAATCACAACCCCCCCCCCCCCCCCCCCCTTCCCCCCTTCCCTCCCTCCCTGTTTGCAGTACTTTTGATTTGTTTTTATCGGAAGGCATAAAAGTAGTTTCTCTGGTAACATCTTGCAAAAGGTCGCGAACGGGAAGGGAAACGAGTGGAGAATATTTAGGGTCCTTCGTTTTCGGGTTTTATATTTTTTTAAAAACCGGGATTAAAATCGGCCCTTTGACGCAAAAGAATACTCGTAAAACGAAATCGTTTCTTTTTTTTTTTTATTTGGTTAAAAAAATTTGGGTTCTTCAGGTTACATATAGAATGATACAGGTGTAATTAACAATTTGATCGGTTTGAATACAGGTATTATTTTTAAAATTGTTTACACCATTTAGCATTGAAACATGAAAAGAGCTAGCTCATACGGGCATTAAATTTTTTTTTAAATCCTTGTTGCTTATATAACAGGCTGCATGCGCAGCATCTCTGCCTCCATCCTATACCTGTCCAGTCTTCGAGAGAACGTTCTCTCAGCACAACCTACTTACATTTGAAATGAGAAATTTCTCACTCTTCTTTTTCTCTTTTTGCGCTGGTTGAAACGGACAAAGGATACTTCACAATGGACATAAAGGCAACATTTGAGGGCTTGGTTTATGTCGTATGCAATTGCAGTGAATCCAAAGGAATCGAGAAATGCTCCTGAGGTCTGAAGTCAGCGCACATGTGTTCCTATCAACTCTTTGTTCCCTACATTTTCGAATTCGGGAGAAAACCGGGAACATGTCCGGGGTGTAAATATGGGGAAATATTGGTTTTACCCAAAAACGAAGGGGCTAGATAGGTATATTCGCCTAATTACTTTATTTAGATGTGTCTGCATATTTCCGCTCTGGTAATGATATCAATAAATAAGAAACTGAAAATCACAAATTCAGCGTTATTCGTACCGGGAGTTCAGGTTAGAAGAGGAGGTGTGGCAACCGCTCGCGAAATTAGGCGCTAAATAAGACGAAGCAGGCCAAAATATAACAAAGTCATAAGGGACCGTGTTCCTATTTACGGCTAAACAAAACCCCTACGGAATTTTAAAAAAAGAGCTTAATTTTACCATTTTTGTTAGTATTTTCTTCGTTTTCTGACCGGGGAGAAACAAGCAGACAAAATGCTGAAGAGAAAAGGTGGTTTCCTCCACTCCTCTCCAGCACTCCGTCTGCTTCCTCCTCCCTGCCGTCCTTTCCCTCGAAACCTTTTCGTAGGTGGCGCTGCTACCCAGGGTACCGAGTATGCTCGTATTATGCACTTGATAGGCATGAATCGTCGGGTAGAAAATCCCCTTCTGGCCCAGCATCATATTGCTTCAATTTATCGAACCAAATGTATCTGCCACGCTTTGCTTTTTTTTTTTTTTTTTTTTTTTGAACCTTATGTAAGCGCTTGCATCTGAGCGCACCGGATACAAAAAGCTCATGTGAAGTTGACGCACACAAAACACCTGGTCTGTACTAGACTTTGTCTTTTTCTTTTTTCACCACGTATCCTGTTCGTAAGAACCCTACCCTATCTTTTTCGTTAATATTGTTCGCTTTTTCATATTGTTTCGGCAGTACGCTTGTACTTAGGAAAAGAAAAAGTGTCGACGTATGCACATTAAAATATTTGTCGAATGGTTGTGTTACACTACCCCCCGTTTCATAAGTTGGACTTTGGGTAGGTAGTGCTCAAATGAACATTTTCACTTTCATAAAATGGTGAATGAGTTTCCCGAAATACTCAGTGCCTTTATTAATCGTTGAAATTACACTTAGGATTGTATTAGATACTGTAGATCTACTCTTGCCTCCATTGTATGAGCGTACCATGTTTTGTTTTAGAGCGGAGCTCTTAGGCGCCCGTTTCCGGCTTGAACGGCGTCGCCGTCGGCGTAACCGCGCGGGGCGGGAGGAGGGAGAGGAGGAGGAGGGGTATACCCTCCCCTCAGTACTTTTACCTCCTCCTCCTCAAGAGCTGCGCTCGAATTCGGTGTTACAGGGAGTTGTTACAGGGAGCTGTCTTTTTGCACGTCTCTGCCTGTGTCTGTCCTTCAAACGTTCAGCTGGCATTTTAACAAACGGATACCAGCTCTTCTTTACACGCGCCGCCCTATATTGAAGAAAAGAAATACAAATATATGTGATTTGTCCAATCAACACGTAAGAACTTACATAAATGAATAAGGCGTTTATATACGCTTTTATCTGGCCTTATATATATATAAGAAGTCCAATGAACATATAACTTACAGAAACGAATAAGACGCACAAAATATTTCGCATGATTTCTTACGTTCTCATCTGTTCATTAAAATTTTCACGTTTCTTTTTTTTTGTTCTTATTTATTTAGAGTGGTCGATGACAACCTCTTTGGCTCTCCAAATAGGAGGAGAAACGAAGAAAGAAAGAAAATCGAAACAAGATTATCTCGGCGATAGAGAGTCCGCTTTGTTAATCAGGCCCGCCGTTAAAGTAGCGGACCCGCGAGAGAAATACTAGTGACACCCGATTTTTCGACGACGTGCACGAGTAAACTTGGCGTGGGTGAAGGCTGAAACTCGGCCAGAACACGACGTTGGTTTCTGCCGCAGTCGAAGCTATATGAGCTGAGGGGAGCAGGAAAGGCTCAGGGACTCGTGGCGTTGGGCTGCGTCCGAATTATCAAGTGAAAGGATGCGAAAGCTTCGGAACATCAATTTTCTCGAATAAAACAATAGAAAAATAAAATCAAGACGCATTTTTCTTTTTCTTAATGGGCCGGCGTAACTTACACGGATATTCGTTAAACCTAGAAATAGCAATGTGGGCGTCAAAAAACTTTATTTCAACTATAAAAAAAAGTTGTCAGCAAGAAGTGCGATACCTTTTTTTTTTCCTTCTCATTTGCTGATAACTAACTTTACGGCATTAGCTCCGATTAACTCCGATTTTCCGACGAAAATTTAACTCATTGAAAAAACCCTCCAAAGTCAGCAACAAAAAAAAGAAGTAAAGTTAGGGGAAAAAGTAAATGAATAAATAAAATAAAAGTAATTGTGTTGCGCGTGTCAGCATCAGTGGGCGGCTGGTGTTTCCGCTGTGTATGAGAAGTTTTGCCAGCGCAGTACGGAACCCTCTACAGTCTTGTCTCGTTAAACATTTTTTGGAGGCGAACTGGGTAAATGCATTTTAGTGTCGTTATTATGGACAACTCGCATTATTGACGCTCTTTTGGACCGAACGGAGGTGTCCACACATGAACGGCAGATCGCTATTGATAGCAAGTTGTAGGTAACTTCGCAAACGTAAAGAAGAAAAAATTAAAATAGATTTGTTTTTTTAATTTATTTGTTCGATACAAATCGTTCAGACGGCTGCTTGACTCACATCTGTTAAAACAAAAATTCGACTATACTTTAAAAAAAAAAGGGTTTGAAAAAAAAATATATATATATTGGGGTTTTTAATTGGGCATAGGTCAATCAAAGCCTGGTACAATGTACGCCTACGGAGTGTCACGTGGTTAGCACGATCCAAAACCATCGTTGGGTTTCCTGTTTTTGCTCTCGGAATTGAACCGCTCGCATCAAAATATGTGCTCGTGCGATGAAATGGTCGGCTCATCCGGGCGGCACAGACCCAGACGGTGAAAATTCTGTAAACCCGTCGCCACTCTAAACGCACAAAAAAAAAAAAAAAAGGCCGATGTCGCGTTTACGTTAACTGTCACGCTCACGCGTTGTGCCTGAATGAGAGGTTGGCGGAATTCCCACGCGGGCAGCGAGTCGTCTATACTTCTCGAGCAAGAGTTGCGGTGACGTCTGGACGATGTCGAGCTCCGATTGCCTTTGATCGAAAGGATAGTGGGTCGATGCTATGTGCCTCGAGGTCTACCCGCTATTGTTTTCCAGTCAACCAATTA